AGAAACCACCCCTGTCCGGAGAAACTTGAGTTTTAAGGGGTGGTCTTTTGAATCTGGCGCGCGAGCCGGTCCGAGAAAAACACGCGTAACTCACGCAAAATGGCACAGCGGCGTGAAATTTCGACGGAGATATTGAAAGAGGATGCTGTCGGACCAATCCCAACCGTTTCCAGCGATTTTTATTTTTTTCATTTTTGGCAAAATATACAAAGGCCTTGGTGTTTTTAGCGAAAATTGATGGGTCCGGATTTCGACGGAAAAGTAGTCGAATCGACAGGAGTGAACCAGGGGACCACAAAACTACTTTTGGTTCCGTCAGAAACCACCCCAGTCCAGAGAAACTTAAGTTTTAAGGGTAGTCTTTTGAATTTTGCGGGCAGCGTACGATGGGCTGCCTACCTTGCAGGCGAACCGGTACAAGAAAAACAGGCGTGACTCAGTAAAAATGGCCCGGCGGCGTGAATCTTCGACGCAGAGATTAAAAAGGATTCAGTCTGACCAATCCCAACTATTTCCAGGGATTTTAAGTTTTGTCATTTTTTGCCAAATTTACAAAGGCAAATAGCCTTTATTCTTTTAGTGGAAATTGATGGGTCCGGATTTCGACGGAAAAGTAGTCGAATTGACAGGGGTGAAGCAGGGAACCACAAAACTACTTTTTCCCCCGCCAGAAACAACCCCTGTCCACAGAAACTTGCGTTATAAGAGGAGGTCTTTTGAATCTGGCGGGCAGCGTACGATGGGCTGCCTACCTCGCAGGAGAACCAGTAAACAGGCGTAAAATGGACCGGCGGCGCGAAATTTCGACGGAGAGATTGAAATGGGGTGCTGTCGGACCAATCCCAACCATTTCAAGGGATTTTCAATTTTTTTTCATTTTTGGCAAAATTTACAAAGGCTATAAATTGATGGGTCCGCATTTCGATGAAGGAGTACTCGAATCGACAGGGGTGAACCAGGCACCACAAAACTACCTTTGTTTCTGTCAAAAACCACCCCTGTCCACAAAAACTTGAGTTTTATAAGAGCTGGTAAGAGCTGGTCTCTCTAACTAAGGGCGGGTAGGCTACCTACGGCCAAGAAGGCTAAGAACTCTGCTGAAGTGGGTCGGCAACATGATATTTAGACAGAGCATGTGAAAAGTGAGTCTGCCTCACCAATCCAAACCAATACCAGCAATCTTCCAAATTGCCAAGATTTTTAAGGACATTTTCAGTGATAACAAATCAGCCTGGATTTTGACAGAGGAGGATTGAAATCGACAACAAAGAACCAAGGCACCACAAA